TGTCATACATGCACAGGTGCTCTCTATCATGAATAAATAAATAGAAGTTAAAAAAAAAAACAGGATAAGTAACAATCTACTTAATAGAATTAATGAGTAATTTGCTATGGAGATTTCTGGAAATAGTGGTCCTGAGTTAGTATCAGTATAAGATATTAAAAATGTTTATCATTTTGTTATTTAATTTAAAAAATTTAGACTTACGTTTTAACTGTATGTCAGTAAAGGAGAAAATAAATAATACTTTTGGTTGTACTTAACAGTAGTTCCATTGTGCAAAACAGAACAAGGATCATTTCCAAACGGCCTCAGGTGAAATCTAATGGGAAACTGTTTCAAACTGGTTTGATTTCACTGGTAAAAGAATGTGTCTTAGATAAACATCTGATCTAAGTTATAGTACTTTGTACTACTCTTTTTGTGATTAGCTTTTTTTTTTTTAAATAAATATGGTTGATTTGCTAGATGAAATGGGACCTTATTATATTGTCTTTAATGTGGATTTTATAAAAATACTTCTTTGCAGGTTATTTGATTTATGAGTCTACACTAGCCTCTTCTTATTATGGAATGTTAATATTTTTTGTGTTCCATAAAGTGAATATTTAGTTTTACATCAAATGTTTATGGGAAAGGCATAATTTAAAGTAAGTATTGCTGCTTTTTAGTTTTCCCTTTTTAACTTTCACATTGAACTTGAATTTTTCTTATAGGAGAGTTCAGATCTTCCTGTTGCTCTCCTCTTGGCTCAGCATAAAGACAGATCTACTCAACTGGAAATGCAACTCGAGAAACCCAAGCCTATAAAGCCAGTTACGTTTTCCACAGGCATCAAGATGGTAAGCTTGTTTGAAAGATATTATTCATAGATTATGATGTATCATTTTGTATTGATTTCTGCAGTATACTGAAAAGTTCAGATGTTTAAGATCAATGTCGGAGCTAGGCTAGATGTCTGGGAATATGGTTATTCCATTAAAAAGGAAAGCGAAAAGTGATAAATAATTTTCAAAATATACTGTGCAGTTTTTAAATTTTTTTTTTTAATACGTACTGTCAGGGTGTATGTTTTTCTTATTTTACTTGAAATTTTAAGCTTGTAGTAAAGATAAGTGTTTCTTAAATATATAAATATGGTTAGGGAAGTAGTTATCATCTGCAGATATAAAATTGGAAAGCAAATATATCAATCTATATTCCTGCCAAATAATTCTTTTCCACATATATACATATACATATATAATGTATTTAGTAAGCTTTTATTTTTTATATTTTTAATTTATGAGATTTTTAATTATTATTTTTACAAAGCAAAATTGTAGAACTTTTTTTTTTAATGGAGAACTTTACATTCTTTTGTCTGTTAAATGTTTTTTCTCTTTGCTCCTCACACCCACCCTCTATCACTCATTCTCTACCATGTACTCTCCTCTCTTACAGTTGCTGGTGTCTACACTTACTCTCTCTACACTTACTCTCTCTATTGTCATATCTTTAGATCTTTCCATTTCTGCCATAGAGTACATATCAAATGGGGATATGCAGTGTGTATCTTTAAAAGTCTAGTTCTCTTTACTTAACATTAAATCTTCTATATTTATCCACTTTCTATCAAATAATAAGGTCTCATTGTTCCTTATGAGTATAATATTCCATTGTATATATATATATATAAGATACAGTTCTTCAACCTAGTCATCAGTCTTTGGACATTTCAGTTCTTTCAGTGTCTTAGCAATTGTGATTAATGGTGCAATAATCATGGATGTGCAACTGTCTTTCTGACTGTGTGTTTTCCTATCCTTTGGGTAAATATCAAGGAGTGGGATTACTGGTTCACATGATAGTTCTATTTGTAAGTTTTTGAGGAATATCCATATTGTTTTTCACAGCAGTTGTACTAATTTACATTCCAATCAATAGTGTGGAAGAATTCCCTTTTCACCACAGTCTTGCCAGCACTTGTCATTCTTTATTATTTTGCACCTAGCCATTCTAACTGGGTTTAAATGATAACTCATTGTGGTTTAATTTGCATTTTCCTTATGACAAAAGACTGAAAAAAAATTTTTAAAGAATTATTTATTTAGAAGAAGACTCTTACATGGTTCCTGAGAACTAATGATTTCAGGGAAAAAAGAGAAATAAAGATTTTCTACTGATAATTCAGCCTCCAGCCACCAAAATTGAGTGGAAAGGCAAGGGGCAGGCCTTCAGAAGAAGACTCCGCCATGACTTCTGAGAACTAGTGATTTCGTGGGAAAAAGAGAATCGAAGATATTTTACTGATATTCTGCCTCCAGCCCCCAAACTCAAGTGGTAGGGAGCCCCTCTAGCCTTCTCTCTGCCTCTGTCTCTGTCTTCTCATTTTTTTGTAATTTTTCCTTTTAAAAATTTTTTAAGGTAAAGTGTTCTCTGGGCTTTCAGCCCTTCTGTTATCTTGCTAATAATCTCCTTTCCCCCTACCATCCAGGAGAGACAAGGGGCAGGCCTTCAGAAGAAGACTACTCCATGGCTCCTGAGAACTAGTGATTTCACATGGCACGCTTGTGTACCACGCAGTTTTTATTTTTTGCTTTTTTAAAAATATAAATTTTTGGTTGTTTTTTCTTTTTTTCCTTTTATTTTCTTTCTCTTTCTCTCTTTTTTTCTCTCTCTGTTTCCTTTTCTTTTTCTTTTATCTCTTCATTCTGCTCCCCAAACTCCATTCACTGTGTTTCTAGATAGATCTAAGGGAACCATAGCCAAACATCCAAATACTATTTAGGGTTAATATATTCCTCAATATCCACTGAATCTGCTGCACAAAAGGACTAAAAACAGAACGGCAAAGAGATTGCAGATCACCTCTTTTGGCTTGCTCCTGAATGCTCAGATTGAAACTCAAGAATTAGGAAGAAATATACCATCCATCAAATGACTAGAAATCACCACAGGGCCACAAGAAATATGGGAAAGCAAGAAAATATACCTCTCCTCTAAGCGAAAAGAATAACTCCTCTTCATCCACAGACAGTACAATGGAAATCATGAAAATGTCTGATAAAGAATTTAGAATATTCATAATGACGAAGCTAATAGAGATGGAAGAGAAGAGAGACAATGAACTGTGGAAGAGGCAGGAGAAAGGAGCTGACGAGTTCCAGGAGGTGAGGAAATTCTTGCAAGATCTAAAAGAGGAATTATACACTTTAAAAAAGAGTCAAATGGACCTGTTAGAGATGAACGCTATAGTACAGGAAGTAAAAAATCGGCCTTGAAAGTATTAAAAGCAGACTAGATCATATAGAAAATAGAATCTCAGACGTAGAAGAGAAAATTGCTGGCCTAGAAAGATCTACCACAAAGACTTGAGAAAATTACCCCCCAAAATGAGAATAATATACAAGAAATACTAGATATTATCAGACATCCAAACCTCTGGATAATGGTATCCCAGAAAGTGAAGAGACTCATAAGGGCATTGATAATCTATTCCATGAAATCCTGCAAGAAAACTTCCCAAACCTAGAGATGCACTCAAAGACCTAGTCCCAAGAAATACAAAAGACCCAAAATAGAATCAACCCAAGAAGATCTTCTCCAAGACACATTATAACCAGACTGAACAAAACCACAGACAAAGACAAGATTCTAAGATTGGCAAGAGAAATTGTGGCACATATACTCTATGGAATATTACTCAGCTATAAAAAACAAGGCCCTGAAATTTGATAGAATGTGGATGAATATGGAAGATGTGTTGCTGAGTGAAGCAAGTCAGACTATGAGAGAGAGACATGTCTGTCTCCACTTAACATATACTATCTGCACTCTATGGTAGAGACTGAAAGCCTCGAGAACATAAAATTATTAAAAATTGTAATGGACACTAGAGACAAAGTGGAAAGAGT